TTTATCCATCCGAATCGGCTATTATTGAAGTTTTGCGATGTTTGCAAATAAAAGGTGATAAAGGGTGTTTCTTAAAGTCTTNTCCATTGTCTCGAAAAATGTATGTTAGCATGGATGTTATCTTTCGTAAGTTTGATCATTCTTCTTTACTTTCCAACCATCTCTTCACGGGGAGAACATCAATCTAAGAGATGTTTTGTCATGAGCATTTTCTTCAATTTTTGTTTAGTGGAACGTAAGTGAGGGGGAACAACACCTTATGGAGGAAAAAGGGGATATTAGTGGTTCACATGGCATTCACCTTTACAAGGATGACTTATTATTTTTGTTAAAAGATACAGATTATCCATGTGCAACCGAATCAGTTGAATTCCTCAATTTTGGTTCCATCCAGCACCAGTTTATCAAGTAATGAACGTTTAGGTGTTACTCTCGCTATGAGTAAGGCAATTGTTGATGACTCTGAGCTTTCTATTATACCCCAGAAAGGGTGCTCAAGTTTATACTCAACATTCCATCTTTAATTTTGTCTCATGATTTCTTGTCTTCATCCTATCATATTTTTGTTTTCCTCTCGTCTTTTGTGTCTATTCCTTAGGGTTGGAAATAGACTCTCATTGATTCTAATTGGAGAGAAGCTATGGTAGAGAAAATGAAAATTTTGAAAAAGAATGACACATGAGAAGTGGAGGTGTAAATGGAGATTCTTCCAGAGTTCTCATATCAAATGACTGAGGGGAAATTGTATAAGCTGAAGAAGCCTCTTTATGAGTTGAAACAATCTCCCAGAGCTTGGTTTGATAGGTTCCTTAAAACTATTCTGAAATTTAGATATAAATAGAGTCATGCTGATCCAGCTATATTCATCAGACAAGTTGATGGCAAGATTATGGTCCTCATTGTATCTATGGATGTCATAGTGATAACTTAAAATGATGAGTATGAAGTCACAAAATTGAAATCTCAGTTGGTTAAGGAGTTTGAAATAAAAAACTTGGGTCTATTGAGGTACTTCCTTGGGATTGAGGTTGTTATGACAAATACATTTTGATCTCACAGAGAAAGTATGTTCTTGACCTTCTTGAAAAGATAGGGATGTTGGGATGCGGACATATAGATTCTTCTATTGAAGTCAACTATCGACTAAGTGGTGGTGTTGGTGAGGTAGTAGAAAAGAAAAGATACCAGAGGCTGGTGGAGAGATTAATATATCTCTTATATATTCGGTCAGATATTGCTTATGGGTGCTATTAGTCAATTCATGCATGATCTTCTAACTACTCATCTTAAAGCAATTTATTGCATATTGAGATATCTCAAGTCAGCTCCAGGAAAAGGGATCTTGTTCTCCAATAATGGTCACTTGAACCTGAAAGCATTTAGTGATGCAGGCTGGGTAGGTTCAATGAATGATTGACGATCTACTTTAGGCTATTATACCTTGATTGGAGGAAATCTTGTTACATTGCGAAACAAGAAGGGAGTAGTGTCTAGGTCTAGTGCAGAGGTTGAATAAAGAGCAACGACTCATGGAGCCTTCGAGTTTATGTGACTCCAAACATTACTGGGAGAACTAGGATTTTGTGATAATGGACCTATAAGACTATATTGTGACTACAATGTTTCTATTAACATTGTTCATAATCCAACTCAATATAACTGAACTAAGCATGTTAAAATTGACTGACACTTCATTAAGGAGAGAAGTTAATCAAGGGCTTAATTTGCATGTTTTTTGTGAAGCTAGAAAATTAGTTAGCCGATGTTTTTACAATTAGTAGCAAGGTTTTTCACCCCATTGGGTATGAGAGATATCTATGCACTGACTTGAGGGCGAATGATACATTACTTATTATTTCTAGAATAAGGGTATTTTAGTATTTGGCATCTATGCATATATAATTAGGGCGTAGTTGTATAACATAACACATTACCCTATTCTGACAATCTTCTCTCTCCCTTAAAACTCTAAAAGCTTCACAACTTAACTCTCTAGCACCATAGGTATCCATCAAATGAAATGATGAACCAAAATTGCTTAATGCTGATGAGTTTAAAATTTCTCCACCTCATCCTATATCAATTGTCATTGATAATCAAATTTCAAAGGGTTTATTTATAGATGAAGTGGATATTTTGTCTCCACTAGTTTGTATGCTTCCTTCGCCAACATCAGTATATGTGGACCAAGTTGTGAAGAATGTGAAGCACCAAGAGAAAGTTCCATGCTTTGGTGATTTTTAGTGCTATTTACCGGAGGCGCAAGCTTGTTCTTATCTCTTCGAGTCTTTTTGCCATTGTACCTCTCCAGATCTATCGGTGTATTTTTGCTATCACAACTCTTTAAAGAACTTCTTTTTGTTGGGAGAATTGATAGGGGTTGTAAAGGGATTTGATAGGCATAAATTAGAGATTAGAATTTTGTCTAGTTACGTATTGTTTTCTATTAGGATTTTTATTATTTATTAGATGATTTGGTTAGGTCGTATTTATCTGTTTGGAGATTTGAATTGAGTTTTTGTGGTAGAGTAATTTTTCAGTGGTAGAAAACTTAAGCTATGAATAAGGATATAATCCTTATTATTTTAGTTAGAATTGAATTTTTATTCGAGTATTCTCTGGAGATAATTTTTCTTGATCTATTTCTTGTGATAATTTGTAATCTAATTTATTTCCCTTTCGTCCCTGTTTCCTCTCTTACATGTTTTGTAGAAACTAAAAAGGTAGTTATAGTTTACATCTTGTGGTTTGAGTTAATGACACTTCACCTCTCTCTACTTAGAAACCTAAAGTTCACCCCCTCAAAGTTTAGAACTAAAGTTCAACTACTAATAAGTTTAACAATTTTATATAAAAGATGTAAGGATAAATGATATCCTTGTGCGGAATGGATCGTCTCTTATGATTACACACATGGGATTAAGACACTACCTAGAAGGGAGGTGAATATTTTAAATGCAATTTCGATTGAACAAACACCAAGTTATAACCTAATTTATCACAATTACGTCTTTCTCAAAAATTAATTTAGTAATTAATAATTAAGAACCCCTTCAACAAGAACAACCCATAAAAACCATGATGATTAGTGTAATGAATTTTTCGATTTTATTGATTAACACTCGATCACTTGCGGCAATCTCAACCAAGGCAATCAACCCACTACTAAACCACTATGTATGATAAGATGCTCAATCAATCACATCAACAAACATATAGTGCGTAGTGTATCAAATAAAGTAATAAAGAACACAGAGATTTGTTAACGCAAAAACCCTCATCGGGAAAAATCATAGGGAACCACTTAGGGTTCACCAAAGGCTAATTTCACAATCAATCTACAAGTATTCGAGTCTTATACCTCAACCAATACCATGATTGGACACTCATTTCCTTCAACAGATTTCTTCACCGGATACACCCACCGATGTTGTAGATAGTTTCATTTGAACTTCCCACCGCATGGTTCATTTTGGCTTTGAACACTTCTAGAATGTATACAAGAATCTCGATATACACACTCTTCAAGTGGGTTTGGTTTAACCAAGCAAGTTCTTCTCCAATGTGTGATGTTGGAGAGGAATCACAAGATGGGTTTTGACCTTTTGATTTAGGGATCTAGGGTTGCTCAATGATCTCTCGAAGTTTACAGTCAAGAAAATCAGCTCACAAGAAAGATACACTAACTTGGGAAGACTTTCTCTATTTATATGCTCGAAATAGGGTTTATCTTGGGAATAAGAAAACATAAATTCACGAACAATCACTCGAGTAGTGGGAGAGCGGTGGGAGGGTAGCGGCTATTGAAATGAAAAATAATTCAAACTAAGTCAGTAAAGCAAGGACCACTCGAGCGGTCTGAGAGCACCCTAGAGGGCGGTGTTCACTACCAACTAGGTCAGCCTTTCCCGATTTTATCACCGAGTGTTTAGAGACCATTCTAGCAAATGCTAACGAAAATAGGGTGGCCCCTACTAGTTTTTAAGCTAAAAACTAAGTAAAATTTGTCCATTTGAGCACTAAAGGGTGTTATTCAAGTGGGATCCAATTAATGGCTCAAGTCTATGTTTTCAAAACACAATTAAGGTTTAAAAAAACTTTACTTTGAAAAACACGTTAAGAGTCATTAATGGATCAATAACCGATTCCATTTTACCTAATCAACCTAAGTCTAATAAAGTAAACCTAAGGTCTCTAGGTTATTACTTTTGTCCTAAACAAGAAGGTCTATACGGAGAGTCTCTCAATGTAGCTTGAATCACAATCTCCTCCCTTCTATTAACGCTTTCGGACCTTCAACGTTGTAGCATCATGACCATAGAATAGATTGAGAGTTACAAAAATACTTCACAAAATTAGTCAATTACAAACATGATCCTAACAAAAGAGAATAATGCTTGTCATTTTTTTAAGTTCTTTCTTTCCCAAATATTTTATACAAATTGAAAAATGTACTTCATGCATGAAAAGATGAGAGAGAGAAAGAGATTGACATATTTTAGAGTGGAGAAAATAAAATATGCACAAGGTCATAAAAGTTATGTTTACATGTTTTATATACTATAATCGCTGTTGACCTTTGATTGTGAAGTTTCACAGAGTTTTAACTGTTTCAATTTGGTTCAAAATTGTAAGGGTCATGTGTAGGTTTCTTCTATAAAAATTATAAGAGGTAGATACTCTATATTATGCCTTTAGTGTCATATTGAATTCAATAAAACTTGTTCAAGCAGTAAATTATTGGTTGATATTGTTATCATATCATCAACATCATCATCATTGGCATACGGAATCTACTTTATGATACATACACTTCATTATATTACTAAAAGCTCAAGTCTTTTTGGAGTGCTGATGATAAACTAAGTATCTCACTTTTAGTACTGGGAGTTCTTAGCTGCTTCAATTTTTTTTTAAGCACCTGCTCCTATATTATTTATTTATTTATTCTATTACCTTCTCCTATAAACTACACTTCTTGGTACAAGTTTTGTTAACAGTTAATCATCTGTTAGAGTATGTGCGCTTTGTTGAATATTTTAGTATCAAACTAATTTAGTTCCTTCAGCTTACTCTGTCAGCGTTGATATGATTCTCTAAGCTCTAAGCTGATCAACCCTTTCTAGTGACTAGTGTCTTTTCCATATTCACGACATATTGATGGCAATTTCATTTGTCTCATTACTGCAGAAGAGAGAAGCCAACTAGCAAACAAGATCAAGGCTCTAAGCCGGTTGAAAGCCAAACTGTTGGTCATAGCCGAGGAGCAACGGGCATCTGAAATCAAGCTAATCAGGGGAGATGCAGTTAAGGCTGAGTGGGGCCAGCAAATTCGGAACTACATATTCCATCCATACAAGCTTGTGAAAGATGTGCGGACAGGATACGAGACAGCAGACATCTCTTCCGTAATGGACGGTGAATTGGATCCATTCATTAAAGCTTACCTCAAATACAAATACAGTATGTCGATGCGTACTGAATAGAATACTGATTAACACAGACTCATTTTGGTCTTTTGTAATTTTTCGCATATTTTCAAAGGCTCTGTTATGCTTTACATTATGTAGGAAAAAAGTTGTGGATACTTGGTCATCATTGAAGAGTCACTCCTTCACATAAAAGGTTTTGTTGTTGTTGAAGTATAAATACTAAAATTGCACTCTTATCTAACAGTTAAAGCTTTTGGAGTAGATGATTGTTTAACATAGTATCAGAGAAGGAGGTTCTGTGTTTGAATTTTACCGCCACCCTAATTATTAAAAATATTTTTACGTGCTAGGGCCGAAATCTAGCCCGCACGTAAGGGGGCGTATTGAAGTAAAAATATTTAAGTTAAACATTCTCCAACAACTTAAGATTTTGTAGTTGATGGTTGTTCAACAGGGTATCAGAGTAGCTTGCACATGAGGGGATATGTTGAAATATAAATATTAAAGTCACACCTTTTTAGTTTAAGTTTTTAGAATAAGTTTTTAGAATAGATGGTTGCTTAAGAGTTGTTAATTAAATATGTCAAAGCTTTGACCCGAAATTGTACATTTCTCCCTTTGGTCCCTACTGTTAACCTTATTCAGACATTATAGCTATATCAAAATAGATATTGATAAAGAGTTTTTGACATTGGTGCGATTCTCACTGGTTCACTAGATAAAGAGAGATTAACTGGTGAGATAAGGTAAAAACAATTCAGGGGCTCACAAATCTTAGGTTTGGTTGGTCATTTGGTGTTGGGGGAAGGAGTAATCCCCAGATGTTTATCCGAGCCCGACATGAACGATAATCATAAGGTCACGTAGGTGGGATTGATAGACCCCATGGGGGAGGTGGTATGTTATTGGGATGATTTGAGGGTGCCAGATTGGGCTAAAGTCATTGGACTAGATTGTCCAATCCGATCTGACCAATTCCATACTTTCAAGCAACTCCATTTTATGTGAATGATAGTGATGAGGGAAAAATTAATTGTACCATTGGGAAAGTTATGCCAAAGGATACCTAATTAAAAAAACTACCATTGAAGGCTGCCAACCTCTAGAATGGATGGAGAAAATTGAAATCTGAGTTTGTCCTAGTAATCAACTCTACCCCACCTGGCTACCTCATGAACTTAGATTAGAAGATAAAGTTATCCGCTGTTTGAAAATCAAAGAGTCTTCCAAACTGAATCAGCAGCCATGTTTTGCAGGGAAAGGAGTTGAGACCCATTGTCCCAAAGGAGTCTCAACTCCCTTATCAGCGCNGATTTTGTAGTTGATGGTTGTTCAACAGGGTATCAGAGTAGCTTGCACATGAGGGGATATGTTGAAATATAAATATTAAAGTCACACCTTTTTAGTTTAAGTTTTTAGAATAAGTTTTTAGAATAGATGGTTGCTTAAGAGTTGTTAATTAAATATGTCAAAGCTTTGACCCGAAATTGTACATTTCTCCCTTTGGTCCCTACTGTTAACCTTATTCAGACATTATAGCTATATCAAAATAGATATTGATAAAGAGTTTTTGACATTGGTGCGATTCTCACTGGTTCACCCGATAAAGAGAGATTAACTGGTGAGATAAGGTAAAAACAATTCAGGGGCTCACAAATCTTAGGTTTGGTTGGTCATTTGGTGTTGGGGGAAGGAGTAATCCTCAGATGTTTATCCGAGCCCGACATGAACGATAATCATAAGGTCACGTAGGTGGGATTGATAGACCCCATGGGGGAGGTGGTATGTTATTGGGATGATTTGAGGGTGCCAGATTGGGCTAAAGTCATTGGACTAGATTGTCCAATCCGATCTGACCAATTCCATACTTTCAAGCAACTCCATTTTATGTGAATGATAGTGATGAGGGAAAAATTAATTGCACCATTGGGAAAGTTATGCCAAAGGATACCTAATTAAAAAAACTACCATTGAAGGCTGCCAACCTCTAGAATGGATGGAGAAAATTGAAATCTGAGTTTGTCCTAGTAATCAACTCTACCCCACCTGGCTACCTCATGAACTTAGATTAGAAGATAAAGTTATCCGCTGTTTGAAAATCAAAGAGTCTTCCAAACTGAATCAGCAGCCATGTTTTGCAGGGAAAGGAGTTGAGACCCATTGTCCCAAAGGAGTCTCAACTCCCTTATCAGCGCAAGTGGATCTCAAACTCCCTTATAAGCGCAAGTGGAGTTTAAAGGACTCTTCAAGCACACAAAGTCTTGCCTGACTAATGTAACAATTTGGGAGTCTAGACTCCCCAACCAAAAGGAGGCTAACCTCCTCACAGTGGATCCGGAAGCCTAGAGTCCACTTCCTTACAAAAATTGACGAAGCCTAGAGCCTAGAGTCCAGAGGAAATGATGAATGTACGCAGTTTTGTTCCTAAACACTGCCCTTCAACTTTTACCAGTGTTTGACTTGAGCATTAAAGGGTTGATCCCCAGAGCTCTCCATTTTGGTTTCTGACTTCTTCTCAGGTCTATCGGAACCTCAGAAACCTCACTTGGAGCCTCGAAGAGCTGATTAAAACAACCAAAAAGCTAACACAAAGGTGAACAGAGTCTAGCCTAGCCTACGTGGAGGTTGGGGCTAATTTCGCACCAAAAGTTTGGCGCCATTTGGGGGAAAAGAAAAGAATTTCCTTTCAAATTCTGCAATCCTTAAAGGCAAAATAACCTTGAATGGTGATTGCTCAGTCGATGGATGTAACTAAAGAAGACCCCTCATGAAAACCAGTAGGAGATACTTGAAGGAGATAACCATAATCGAGATCCTCTTGGAGCCGACAAGTGACAAGAAACCAGAGGGTGCTCAATTTAGAAAAAAACAATGACAGGATGAATCAGACCATTAAGGAATTGACCCAATGAACCCAACAAATACTGCAAATGCTTACTATCTAATCCCCTTAGTAGTTCTCCCATTTTGTAGAAATTCAACGTCACCAAGCAGGAAATATAGGAGATGAGCACAGTGATAACGACACTCCTCATCGAAAGGAAGAAAATGACTCACTTGATCGAAAGTTCAAGGAGGTCAATGATGATATTAGAGATGTGATCAACACTATTAAAGCTGGAGGCCCAAAACTGTGGAAACTCTAGTCCATCGATTGGAATCCCCATTTTTGCATATGACATTGCACATTATCCTTTACCCCAAAGTTTAAATTGTATGTGATAAAAAACTTTGATGGGACAAAGGATCCCTTGGACCATTTGGAGACCTACAAGCCCTTTATGTTGCTTCATAATATTCTTGACCAGATTATGTGCTGCGCTTTCCCAAAGACTCTCAGGGGGCAGCTCGCATCTAGTTCCATAGGCTCTCTTCAGGCTTGTTGGATTGTTTGTTGAGTTAAGCAATTCATTCCTCTCCCATTTCATTGGGGGATAAAAAGATTCAAAGCCACCTACTTACTTGCTAAATCTCAAGTAGGCAAATGGAGAACCACTTTGGCATTATATGGCGTGATCCATTAAGGAGTCGCTGCAGGTTGACAGTGTGGACGTTAAGGTGGCCTTGACTGTCTTTATGGGAGGATTACAACCCTCCAGATTCCTGTTTTTACCATCCAAAGCTCCACCTTCAAGCATCTCTTCTCTAGAACCCAAAGTCATACAGATGCAGAAGATGGTCTGAATGCTCGGAAAGTGGGAGAGGATCACTCCACAAAAAGGAAGCGAAAAGATTAGAATAAACCTAATAAAACTACCACCGCAAAGAAAGAAAGATTCGACCAAATACCTGCAAGATAAAGACTGCGATCTCATTTCCCACCAAGAAGGTTTTAGGGGTATACGCTCCTGAACATTACGGTAAAACATGTCTTCTTCAAGGTACAAGATGACAATGACCTAAAATGGCCTAGGAAGTTGAAAACACCCTCTCACAAAAGAGCGAGGGATAAGTAATAACAGTCCCAAAGAGACCATGGGCTTGATACAAAAGACTGCATCACTCTAAATGATTAGATAAAAGAATTGATTCGATGCAGCCAGTTAGGAAGGTTCGTTAATGGAAACAGAAGAGAAGAAAAAGATCTACCCCTAGAGGCTTCTCATCACCAGCAACCCTTGAGGGAAATAAAAGTATTTTTGAGATACCTGACAATTGGAGGAGAAAGTAGTTCATCAAGGTGAGCTTATGAAATGAGAGCTCACTATGATTATGAAGAGACTAACCTAGTACATCTAGGAAAGATGCCCAAAGTCACACCGCTAATCACATTTTCAAATCAGGACCTCAAAGGAGTCCGCCTTCCACATGCTGACCCTTTGGTGATTTTAATAATTGCAGCAAACCAAGTTGTATGAAGAGTCTTGATAGACAACGGTAACTCGACTGATATAATCTTTGCCATAGCTTTCAATCAACTAGATGTGGGAGATGTAACTTGAGGACCATCAAAGCTTTTGTTGTTGGTTTCTCAGGAGAGAAAGCTTATTCGTCGGGAGCAGTTTCTATCCCAATCACCATAGGACACCTTTTTACTCAGGTCACCCATCTGGCGGATTTCTTAGTGATGAATTGCCCCTCCGCATACACCGTCATCCTTGGATGGCCAACCCTTAATGCCGTAGAAGTTCCTTCTATATACCATCTCCTTCTTTGATTTCCAACAAAAAAATGGGATAGAGGAAGTAAGGGGTTATCAAGTCATGACCATAGAATTCTTGTGGCTTGAACCAAGAATAACCAATTAGTAGATACATGCCAGATAGGGAAATTGATCCTAGGGAGCCTGATTAAGAGAAAATAAGTCTCTCAATAAAGGAGTTGATCCTAACAATGCTCAAAGGAAAGAATTCGCCACATCTGAGCTTTCCCCATATGTCAGGAGCAAGAGTGAGGAATTTTTTCATAACAACTCAGATGTGTTTGCTTGGAGCCACGAGGACATGCCTGGGATTGATCCCCAGGTTATGGTTCAGAAGCTCAATGAAGATCCCTCCTTTAAACCAATCAAATAGAAAGGGAGAATGTTTAGCCCCAAAAAAATTTATAGTTAT